ATATATATACGAGACGTATATACGTATATCTCATACGAGACTTTTTTTGTTTCACCTCTCATTTATTTATTTATTTATTTTCTTCCATGAGTCAGATCTGTGACGCGACCTGTCAATCAATCCAGTAGGCGTGTCAGCAAATGACCAATCCGAAGCTAAATGCTCGTTATCTGCAAAGAGCTGCTGCAGCCCATCAGAGCTACCATCTTACTGTAAGCAGGTTCAAAGTCCTGATACTGATTATAATCTGATGCTGATGTGCTAACAGATTAACTATCTCCTTATTTGTTAATCCAATACCAAAGTATAACTTCACAAGACGCTCAACATTCTTCATTTTACCAAAGTTAAAATGTGGTAAACCTGCTCATTTGCTGACACGCACACTGGATTGATTGACAGGTCGCGTTGTGGGAAAAAAACAAAACATGAGCTGCAAAAACACTCGCACGACATTATTCTCGTAATTTTTTGGCTTTTTTTTTTTAGCGTGGCCCTAAAGCCCCGTCATATAAAAGTGCTCTGGTTTTCATACTGAGAAAACTCTTTGTCCTGTCAGCCAGCACCTTGGTGCATGTGGAGCACACGTGTTTGGTGATGAAGCGTCTGAAACACGGTGAGCCGGAGCATCTTCGACAAACAGGAGTGATGTTACATGTCTGCTTCTCTTCTGAATGTCGCCGTGCTGGTTGCATCATTTGATGCATAATCTATCAGCGTATTTTGTTAATGCAAGTTCTTTAAAAGCAAGAGAACACATGAACTCATTTTGTACGTGCACAAAGCTTATAGACTTTATCACAGAGAAGAAAGTGTGAGCTGGATGAGCCTAAAGATAGAAGCAGAGGGAGAGGCGGGCTGCCTGCAGGCCAGCACACCCATCCTGTCTCTGCCTTTCCTGTTGCACAGCCACGCTCTCAGCTATGTTCACAGTGATTAGAGATGGCACTCTGTTGGGCCAGAAGCTCAGTACAACACCTTCCTTTCTCTTTTTTTCCAGGCACAATTTTCCCCAAAGCTTTTATATTTCAGGAGGCCATCCTATAGTCTACTGACGCTGCTCATCGGGAATCGGGCCTCACATCTGGAAGCGATGCCGCGCGTGCGGTATTATTTTAGGCTTCAAACAACTTAGCAGACACTCCTATACAACAAGTGAACGGGGAGCTGTGGTTTCCAGGCCCACCACAACTTTCCTACAGGACAATCTTGGACCATGTCCTCCAGACTAATTGTGCTTTTGTGTTGTTTTTCTTTGGGAGGCGTTTCTGAAGGCGTTGTGCCGCGTCGGAGCCAGCGGCTCTGTCACTCTGCGTTCAGAGTTTCTGTAAATATTTGAACGAACTGGACTGCTGGTTATGGCGGGGCTCTGACAGCGAGCGAGACATGTGAAGCAGAGTTCATAAACTTGCTGTTAAAACAACACGAGGGCTCCTGTCTTCTCTTCCTGACTGCTCTGGAAGCTTTGAGAAGGTGGAGTTTCCGTTCCTGCAGGGAGACCTGCCTCAGCACCGACCATGACCTGACGCACCGCTCCAATATCATCACTCTGCGTGTTATTTATTGTTCCTCTGACAATACGTCTGTCTGATCTAATGCCACGCAGCACACAATGAAAACCTATTGAAGAGTTCCTGGTTAAGTGTAATCTGCAGTAAAAATTATTTTCTTTCTTTTTCTCACTTCTCTTAGATTGTAGGGGTGAAAGAAAGTGTACGTGCCACTCACATAGCTGACAGAGGCGAGCGTCCCGGGCTGCTGTCACTCCCATTGCTGTTTCCATGGTCCATCGCTCCATTCATCTCCTCACGGATGGCGTTGGCCAGGGAGTTGAGTGTGGGACTTCCAATGGAAGCAGTAGTGTATAGAGGTATGTTGTTTTCTGCCAGCGAAGCCTGAAAAGCAAAGCCCGAAGCGTTAAATGTGAAACGGAAGAAAGTTGTCAGCGTTTTCTCAGTCGCCCATCACTCTTCTCATGGCAGAGCATCGACCCCAAAAGCAAAGTCTACGTGACGAGGTGTCGGAGAGATCCACTTCTCGCTGTCTTTGAAAGTTGTGAGCGAGGCAGCATAAGATGAAGTCACTTATTATTTTTACCTGGAAGGCAGCGGAGAGAGTTGGACCATAGCCCAGGCTAGTCTGGATGTTCTTCACAAGGGCCGGACTTCTGCAAACAGAAAAATTAAGTTACAACCACAGACTCATGTCTCACCTAGCATGCATTCCTCACACACAGGATCCGATTTCATAAAGAGAAATCAATGCACTTTGAACTAAACACATTTACTGGTGTAGTAATGTGGATATTAAGGCTACAGTTCTAAGATGTTCAATCACTCTGCGATACCACACAGCTGTTTTCAACGCTCTGCATTTCATGGGAAGGAAGAACAGGTTGATGGAGGCAGATCGTGTGAGAGCGTGATGGATGATGAGCTTAACACAAAAAGCATGATGGCAACACTGAGAGGAGAGAAGGGGGAGCATGCAGGTGGGGCTGAGGACTGGGGGGGTTGCAGTGCAGGCGGAGGTGCTTACTGTACGAGCAGCTCGTCAAAGTTCTCATCAGTGGCGTGTTTCCGGGGGCGACCTCGCTGAACGTGTCGGCCGCGCTTAAACTCGTCTTCATCAAGGGTCCAAAAGGACCCGAACACACCCTCTACTCTCACAAAGCACTTATGCAGGGAAAGGTTGGTGCGAATGGCACCCTGGGAAAGCAAACCAGCAGGAAGGGGGGTGGGGGGGGCAGCCAGATGCAGATGCAGTGATCGGCAGCACAGAAATGGGGTGGGGGGGGGGGGGGGAACCGACAAACAGACAAGACACAGGAAGGAGGGGAGGGGATCGAAAAAAAAAAAGCCATTGTGGGTTATAAGGCATCACCAAAAGGCTTCTGAAAGCATGGAGGGAGGGGGCACGTTGAAGCAAGCAGTGACTTCGGACATTACGGCACACAGACAATGAAATGGAGCAGCAGAGGTGGAGCAGCTTCTTCCCATCAGTCAGCGCAGAAACAGATGCTCAAAGAGGCCAACACGTACCCACTGATCTTCTGAGGCCGTCTCTTTTGGAACTCTATTTCGTCGACTGTCCACACAGCCCCTTTTACGTTTTCTACTCGCACAAAACACTTGTGAAGACTAAGATTATGTCGGACTGCATTCTACAGTGCATGTGAAGACAGAGAGACAAAACAAAGGTTTCTATCAGTACATTTAAAACATGGTGTCACAGGAGAGAGGTTCATTTAGACAGACGAAGCCTGGAGATCAGAGGCAGGCAACTTTTTTTCCCCCAAGGGCCACGTAAAGAATTTAAAAATTAATTTTCTTTATGAAAGGTAATCTAGAAGACCTTTGTCTTATTGTAGCATAGTTAGCATGCTTTATAAAACATGTCTTTCCAATATCCTTTACGAATATAAGACATACAGTATTCTGTAGCTTAACATGTTATACACGTTAGCTTAACATGTTATACAAGTTAGCTTAACTTGTTCTATTAGTTAGCTTAACATGTCATACACATTAGCTTAACATGTTATACACGTTAGCTTAACTGTTATACACATTAGCTTAACATGTTATACATGTTAGCTTAACACGTTATACACATTAGCTTAACATGTTATATATGTTAGCTTAACATGTTATACACGTTAGCTTAACATGTTATACACGTGAGCTTAACATGTTATACACGTAAGCTTAGCATGTTATACATGTTAGCTTAACACGTTATACACATTAGCTTAACATATTATACATGGTAGCTTAACACGTTATACACATTAACTTAACATGTTACATGTTAGCTTAACACGTTAGCTTAACACGTTATACACTTTAGCTTAACATGTTACACACGTTAGCTTAACACGTTATACACATTAGCTTAACATGTTATACACATTAGCTTAACACGTTATACATGTTAGCTTAACATGTTATACATGTTAGCGGAGATATACAAAACAAAGTTATATATTTGTATTTCTAAGTCTTTAAGGTCTAGTTCTGGAAACAATGATTAAAAAAAAAAAGTTTTGTGTAAGATGTTTAATTTAATTTCCTTAAGTCTTGTTTATAAATTGCTGTGTGTGTGTTTTTTAAATCAAATCTTAAAAACATAACAAAGAAATTAAAAAAACGATTGTTTATTTTTTTATCTAAGGATATTGGGGGCCTGATGGAGATTGTCTAAGGGCCACTTTTGGCCCTCGGGTCTTAAGTTGCCCATGTCTGCTGCAGATGGATGGAAACTGCAAATAAACCAGAGGAATACTGGCTGTCAGAGGAATCTAAATGACTCAAACACAAATACTTATTGGCTTTTATTGTGATTAAAAAAAAGCCACGTCTTATTCCTTATCAATACAAACCTTCAGTTTACGGTTTGCATCAGACAAAGCCCAAGCGTGGCATTCAAAGACCCGACCTGAACAGGCCGGGTCGTTTTGACTACAGAGATCTCACAATTTAAAGCTTCAACCCTAAAAGTTAAAGCATGAAAGGAGACATTCATTAATCATCCTTTTGTTATGCTAGGAGCAGGAGGGTGGGAGAGGAATCCAGTGTTTATAACGCCGGCGTGCCCCTATGGAAGAGCTGTCAGCACGTATGGGCGCTGATGGAGGACGCGGGTGGAGCAGGGTGGTGGTGCGGTTACAGCAGCTTGTGACTGATCAGCTCTGGCTCAGAGGGAGCTTTCAGGGCTTCGCCGCTGCTTCCCTCCGATGTGTGTGAGCATTTTGAGGCCTGGTGGAAAACTGTGCGTTACCTTTTGATGAGAGGGGCTCAGCCAGGAGGCGTCCATGTTTAATGCCACCCACTAACAGAACAGCCCCACATATCACAAGAAAGCACTTTTTTCTACTTCCTCTATTTTTATTTATTTATTTATTTACTTTTAGAAAAGCATACTGGTTTCTTTATTGGTTTGTTTGTACAAAGGGTGGCTCACTTGGACAGAATGAATGGTGTATTGTTATGTATGTTCATAAACGTGAGTTTATAATCCCTCACTATTGCTCCATTCTAACTTACATCAACTAAATATTTCTGCACTCACTGTTTCCAAGACAAGAAAAAAATAAAAAAATAAAAAACAGACAAACCTTCCACGTTGCTGCGTTGCGCCTAAAATATGCAAACATTCGTGTGAACCAGTTGTAGATTTCATTTAGTGTTAGCTGCTTTTCTGGAGATTCGAGGATCGCCTGGATGAAAAAAACAGTGACAGAAACATTGTCACTTTTTCCTACTTCACAAAACGGTTAATAATTGATGGAGAACAGGCAGGCGGGCCTGTGTGACCCCCCCGGAGACAAAACAGACCAAGTGTACTCAGAACAGTGGAGCGCGTTCAACTCAAAACGGCACATTTAAATACATCTCTCTTTGTGAGTGTAAATGAAGGGCGAGCAAAAACATTTCTCAGGCAGATTACAGGCCGGCAATTATGGACGGCTCAGATTAATTCCTGAGATCCCAGATTCCTGCGGTCGGGCGATAATTGACTGGTCATCTTAAAACAGGTTCATCCCCACTGTTGTGTGAAATGAATTTGGTGGCAGTCGCAGCCGCTGAAATGCCTGATCCAACTAAATGCTAATATGTGGCTCTGTTTTGTGTCCTGACTGTCTTCCTGCAGTCATGAACGTGGATTAAAACTCCTCCATTTAAACGTGTCCTGATATGAGCAATGGACAGCAGGATGTAAACGTCACATTCAGTCCTTACCTGTCTTATTAGAGAGGCATACGTGAACGGCGGTCTGACGTCTGCATTCATATAAAACTCTTTGTTCTGACTGAGATCTGTCAACAGGAAACAAAGTGAGACGTGTTGTTTTCCAACATTAATGGAACTTCACTGGGTGCTGCTGCAGAGGGAGCTGACCGAGCATACCTGGAGAGATTGGCATGTTGTACTTTTCAGAATAGCGCCGTCGAATTGGGCCCACGCCGTGGAGGCTGTTGGCTGTGATGACTGAGTGCGTCTGGGATAGTGGGGTGAGGGGGGCTGTGGGAGTGGTGGGAGTCCGGGGAAGGCTCAGAGGAGGAGAAGCCTCAGGGGCCGACTTGGACAATGTGACGTTAGACACGAGGTTGAGCTGAGGAATAGCAGACACAGAGAAACAAGGTTAGTTCTCTAATGACCCCGCTGTCTCAGATGTCGTTTCTATTTGCAGGTGGGGGCCCGGGACGATCTGTGAGGGGTCACTAAACATCTGGAAAACAACCCTGGACCCCAAATACTCCACTCAGTCCCTGGTCCTCCCTCCTGCTCTCTGTTGGCTCTTCCATCACTCAGTTTCACCGTCTTTGTTTAATCTTTTGTCCTGTTTGAACAACAACCCCACCCCCATCCACACAATGTGGGCCACAGACAACCAGTAGTGAAGGTTAGGTTGTGAAGATGTGCAGCGATGGAAAGTGACAGAGATTCTCACCTACCGCTGAGCGGGCCTCCCAATAAGAAAAACAGAAGAAGCCAATCTGGGCTAATTACAAGCTGAAATTGTACAGTGAACCCTCATTAATGGGGTAGGGGGGAGGTGGGTAAAGAGGTGATGTGATGATTAACCACTGCACCTGACTGACCTCCATCATTAGGGTCATGATGGCTGTTGTCAAAATGGACCTGCAGTGTTTTTCACAAACACTTTGAAGAAAGGCTTTGGTTTCAGCGCTGAGTGGAGCGGTCGGGTCAGCTAAGGCACAAGAAGGATTTAAGAAATAATGGCTACAAGGTAAACTAATTATGGAAGTGCTCCGAAGGTACAGCACGGTTTCCCGCAGCTGTGGCAGCTCCGAGCCAAGTGCCAAGCCTCCATACTGCAGTAGCAGTCAAGTGGAAAATTCTCGCCTGACCCCATGCTCCAGCTATTAATTGGCAGGAAAACTAATGACACATATACATATTCCCACAAAATTGTTCTAATTGCTAATTTGCTGAAGGAGGCCAGTTTCCAAATTAAACATGACTTCAGAGTTTGAGAAGAAGTAAAAGAAGAAAACAGAAGAAGGGAAATAAAGAGCAAGAAAATAGGAGGAGAAACGTGTGAATTAGACATCACGTGTTGATCATGAGTTCACATGTCACACTTTTATTCATCATATGGGTCAGAGATTTATTTATTCAGTTATTTGTTGATTTATTTATTTGCAAACCCAAAAAACTGCTCAACATCTAAATAAAATCATTGTACTATTAACATTTACGACCAACATCTCCCGACTTTAAAAGTGGCACAGCCTTGTTATTACAGTATTTTATTTTGAAAGGGCTGAATCAGCAATATATTTCCTCTTTTCCTGTTTGTCTTCATAGTTTTGTTTTTGGGGATTGTATTTCATGTTTCCTGCAGTATTTTTAACCATTCATGGATCAAAACACTCAGCACAGCTCTGGACAATTTGGCTAATTTTTGTTATTAGTAACTTTTATACTTTTTAAATATTTACTTCATTTACAGTTTTTCTCATAGAAATGTTGTATTTTTGCAAATCCTTGAACGACTCTTTGAAATCTACATCAGCATACTTGCTATATCTTTGTCTCCTTGTGCTGTTTTGATCTTTTTATTTTATTTTATAATTTTAGCTTTTTAATACTGTTTTGCACTGAGTTATACATTTATAACTTTTTACGATGGAGCTCTAGGGCCACGCTAAGAAAAAAAATAAAAAGCCATCAAGTTACGAGAATAAAGTCGAATGAAGTCTTAATATTACGAGAATAGTCGTATCAAACCAGTAGGCGTGTCAGCAAATGACCAATCCTTAGCTAAATGATTGAGAAATGAAGGGTTGCATTGTGAGTGCTGTGGACAGCCTCCACTGTGAGTCACTGTGTTTATGAAGTAGTCCACCATCACTTTTGTGTCACTGTTTGTGAAATATTCCTCCATCCACGTTATGTCACGACTAAATCCGTCAATGCAGCCATTAATTGTAATGCCATACGGCTTCAGTTTATCATATGTATGCTCAACATTATTCATTTTACCACAGTTAAAATGTGGTAAACCCTGCTTAATCATGTCGGAGTTTGGATAATATTACAACTTAAATCTGATAAAAAAAATTACGAGTTTATTCTCATAATATTATGACTTTATTCTCATAATACTCCAAGATTATCCTCGTTATATTATGACTTTATTATCATAATATTACTGACTTTATTATCATACAACTTTTTTCTCATAATATTAATACTTCTGGTAAGATTATGACTTTATTCTCGAAAATTTATTCTTATAATATTATGACTTTATTCTGGTAATACTACTGACTTTATTATCATACAACTTTATTCTCATAATATTACAACTTCTGGTAATATTACGACTTTATTCTGGTAATACTACAAGTTTATTCTGGTAATATGACTTTATTCTGGTAATACTACAAGTTGATTCTGATAATATTATGACTTTATTCTCATAATATTACAAGTTAATTCTGGTAATATTATGACTTTACTCTGGTAATACTACAAATTTATTCTGATAATATTATGACTTCATTCTGGTAATATTATGATTTTATTCTGTTAATACTACATCTTTATTCTGATAATATTATGACTTTATTCTGGTAATACTACAAGTTTATTCTGATAATATTATGACTTTATTCTGTTAATACTACAAGTTTATTCTGGTAATATTATGACTTTATTCTGGTAATACTACAAGTTTATTCTGGTAATATTATGACTTTATTCTCATAATACTACAAGTTTATTCTGGTAATATGATGACTTTATTCTCATAATACTACAAATTTATTCTGATAATATTATGACTTTATTCTCATAATACTACGAGTTTATTCTGGTAATATTATGACTTTATTATCGTAATACTACATGTTTATTCTCGTAATATTATGACTTTATTGTCATACAACTTTATTCTTGTAATTTTATGGCTTTTAATTTAATTTAATTTTTCTTAGTGTGGCCCTAAAGCTCTGTCGTAGCCTTTAGCCACAACTTAGCTAAATATATTTCCTAGCTCTACTTTTTCAAATGTTGTCTTTTGTTCTGCTTGTTTTGGCTTTATTATTATTTCTGTTTCAGCTTTTCCAAGAAACATCAGCCGTCAATCAGCAGCCACCATTCACAGTGTTTGCAGAAAATGTGAATTTTTCTAGTTTTACTTAATTTCAGATGTCTCTTGCACACAAACTGTCTCAGATATAACGCACAAAACTGCTCTCCCTAAAACTTGACTGTTCAGTAAATTCCTGGTTTTAGCAGACATGTCCAAGTTCTCATAATATTTGTTTATGTTTAGGAGGCTGAAGTCCATCTTCTTGGCAGCCTCTGCCCAAATAATTTGGGTTTGTGCAGAGATGTACACATGCAGCCTGCATCCTTACAAACAGCAGCCGAAGACGTGTTATTCTACAGCGTGAACAAAATAAATTACTCTTGGGTTTGGCGTGATTCTGACACAATGCTATCAAGTGAACGAGGCTGCGGTGTTGACTTCTCTTCCTGTGGATTAGCAGGCTTTGTTTCACGTTTCATCCATATTCCCTGGCCATAAACACAGAGAGGCTTCAACAATGGCCCAGACAGGCTGGTAATAGCCTCGCCTTTGTTTGCCTCGCCATTTGGGCTCACTCCAGTTCGTGGACAAAATGAGACTTCACACTGAAATTAATTAAATGGTAATTGGTGATCTAATTATACTGGCTTTGACTCGGCAAGCTGCAAAAGAAAATAAACAAAAAGTCCCTCCTTAATTATGTATGGAGGAAAAGGTCAGATCTCTGACAAGAATGCTTAGTGACACCGTGCGCTGACACCCACCCACTCACACAGAGACAAATACAAACACACACATGCACACATGGAAACATGCATCGCTAATGTGGCACATTTTGTTTTCATCTTTCCTCCGCCCCCATCCACCTAAAAGGCAGCAGAAAAAGACGAGTGTGCTTCGTTTATAAACGCAGTTTAAAGCAGAGAGTTCACCTGAGCTGCTTCATGGCGAGGCGTCTCGTTTGACACATTACGTCACACAACACGAGTAAATAACAATTAAAGCAACAACTCGTGTATTCTCAGAGTGGCTCAGTTTCAGCTCATCTCTGAGGATGGTTTGACTCCGCTTCGTATTTCTGCCTACTTCTCATGCAACCTCCTCGTAGGCTCTGTGGGGCCGCGGGCCGTGACCTCCACTCTCCCAGCCAGACATTTTCATCGCAGGGCCTCACAGCAGCTTACAGCAGGCAGAAACGCCTTGGAGGATGGGAGTCTATTTATTTGAATAAAAAAATAAATCCCAGCTCGCCCTCTTGAGAGTGCTAACACTGAGCTCTGACACAGCCGTTCTCACAGGCCCAGGGGAGAGAAGAGAGGTAGTGAACTCAAGATGCTATCTGCCGCCCCAACCACTTTTCATATACAAATGTCCCCGTGTCAGAGCCCTCGTTGTGCGCTCTAATCTGCACAATCAAAACGTGCAGCGCGGGCGCAGCTTCGACACACAGCTTATTGTCACTCAGCATCTCCAGGCGCTTTCTGCGGAGCGGCTGCGCTGTGCTGAGCGTGCACGCAGCCTCTGGTCGTCAACAGCCTCCACTCTGACTGTAAATAAATGATCCAAACAGCACAGGGACAAGACTGCTGCATGTGTATTGTCCATTTGCGTGCATGTGTGAGTGCGATGAAGTGTCACACCGACTGAAATATGATGTGGACGCTCCGTCTTAAACACGACAGAACCGAACAGACGTTTAAACGCTATACGTGGAGCCTTGGCCCTGCAGTGGAGGGCTTCAGCTGGCATACAGCGAGAGTAAGAAGGTATAATGTTCAGAATATGTCAAAAAATAGAAAGAAATTCACTAATATTTTAGTTTTCCTCCTGTGATTGATTTGTTCATAATTAAAACATTAAGGACTAAATCTATTATTTCCAGCACACATATGGTTTATTATTAGAAATACAGAGTTAATTCCTGACAAATACCTGAGCATCTGCTATCATGTGTAATCAATAAAAAAATCTATTCAAATCCAGTTCTGCTAACACGATACATTAGACTGGCACAGCTGTACAACAGCTCAGTTAGAATTATAGGAAATAATTAGATCAATAGTTACATTCAGACACTCTAAATAAAGATTTGTGTTTAATTGTGCACATGGAAATGGATTTATGTTTAGTACGTTACTTTTCATGTGTATATGTAAAGATGGTAATTTTAATTCTAACACATTTATTGTTTCCACCCAGAACTTTTGCATGTTTTGTGCGCTCACACAGGCCACGCAGAGGCAGAGGAGGGGAGGCCATTACGCAGCGTGTGCATCCAGTTCATCACAAACACCAAATTGAATCTCAGATGTCAGCAGATGTGCTCCAAACTATATTTACTGCCTCTCTCAAGAGAACAGCTGTTTTTATTTAGCAGATAAATAAGAAGATGGGGGAAAGGATTAATGAATACATGTGTGCCAATTAAGACAAACAAAAGAGTGGGTGGGGGAGGGACGGGGGGGGGGGGGGGGGAGATGTATGACAGGGTTGCTGCTCACCGGCTGCGGGGTGGCTTTGGGCTCTGTGGACTTGACATGAAGATGCGTCATCATCGCTTGCAGACGCTCTTTGTCTTTTGCTAGCTGTAATGAGAAAGGTTTTTAAATAAATAAACGACACAGAAAAATCTATTTTTACACTTTAATTAATTCCAGCGATCCCTTTGCACTGAAGACACTTCCACTATAACTCTATATGAGCAACCCTATTTTCAGAGCATTATTTAATTATTTGTATTAAAAGAATGCTAATGGTATAATCTCAATAAGTTTTTAGTGGAAAAGCAGTTTGGAAGTTGTGAAGACAACAAAACGTCTCAGTCCTGTCCACCTGTCTGAACGTCAGCGCTGTCTCAGCTGCCAGCTCGAGTGATGATGACGAGCTGCGTGCAGAGGAGGTGTGTGTCTGCTAAAGCCTCTGTGATCCCTTCAGATGATAAACCACCGGAGCAGAAATAACACGACAGAGGCATGGTGAACGTACGAGCAGCTCAAACCTCACTGTCTGATGTTAACTTCTAGCAAACCAGAACGACTTCATGATCTTTACCAGTCATTTCAGGCAGTCATGTGACTCTGCACCACGACTGAACAGTGCCAAAACATTTTCTGATGTCACTGACAAATAGGAACACATTTATTTCACCATAAAATACTAATAAATGCCTTAATGACGCAGATGGAATGGCAGTTTTAAACATCTTTTTTGGTAATTGTATTAATTATTTAAATAGCTATTTTATCTCTTACAAAAATAATATATTATAACAACTTATTAGGGCTCTTTTAAACTTTTTTTGTTGTTGTGAATTACAAGAACCTTTTGGTTCCTCACTGTCCCCACCATGCTGCCGAGTCATTTCACCAAGTGTTTTATCGGTGATGCCAAACAGTTAAAAGTCATAAATAACTTTAAAACCCAGTAAAATTCAAAATGTAATTATCTTCTCTACTTAGCCCCGGGCCGTTCATATATCTTCTCCTGCCTGTCATGCATACATAACACATTTTTAATGACTGGTTACCAGCAAATGTACAAAATTATTTCATTCTTCCTGACACACACACACACCCGCCCACCACGAGTGACCTGGTGGCTGACATCAGACAGACGGGGGTGGGGGTGTCAGGAGACTCTGAGGATGTGTAACAGAAGAGGACACATAAATATTTGGGTGAAAACAAGCAGCGGGACAATACCTGCAGCTCCAGCTGTTGTACGACCTGCATCTGCACCCGACACTGGGCCGTGCTCCTGTCGTCCAGGGCGTGCTCGTTGTTCAGATGCCTGGAAAACACACAAACGTTAAGGAGAGCACGTCACCGGCATGCCACCGTCCAAGGCAGAGTTTTAAAAAAGCTTATGCTGGAAAACGATGCTTTGGTCAAACCTCATGCTCAGAGCGTGTGTTGTGAATAACTCTCAGCTACAACCACATAGTTTATCTGTAAGCCTGAGCTACTGCCATTTCTGTGTTGTCTAAGGTCAGTTGGCTGTGGTAGCCATCTTGAATGGGGTTGACTACAGTCCAACAGCTGTAGATTCAGTAATTCTTTTCTGCAATTTGCCAGATATTACCAAATTTTTCAGCCTACGTTTAAAAAAAAATTTTTTTACATGCCCTGTGACTTAAACGCCGAAGCAACATATTTATGGATTTTTCTCATATTTATAAACCAATTTTTGGCTGAGATATGACTGTGTTCATTCATTCTGACTGAAAATATTGAACACTACCATTTTCAGCAACTAGATGGCACTCGAGAAGTAAGGCATGCCGTTGTGTCATGTAATGGGTAAAAGTGGATATTAATGACACAGTCGGCTTGCCATAGCCTGCCACCTTTGTCCAGCTCAACTGGAGCAACCGTCAAATCAGCTTCATTTCACTGCTCCGCCCCAGAGAAATGCAGCTGATTTGACCATTGAAGTCCATTTATTAAGTAAAAGTTCAACTGAGACACACCTTTACTATAAAGTTGTGCAAACAAATTATTGTTTGTAGGTGTTAATCTTGTTAAATTCTTGCTAAAGTCCTCCTGTGCATGCTCCTGCAGCTGCCATTTGGCAGCCAATCAATTTTTTGGCACATCACCGGCCCACATTTCCAGGTTGTCAGCGGTGACACATAATAGATGCAACATATAAGGCAAAGCGATGTATTTATGGATTTTTCCACTTTATTTAGACATATTGGGACTGATGCAACTTATAGGGCAGTGCGACGTGTATGGTGGAAAATACAGTAGATATTTCACTAACAAAAACATGCGCACACACAAGCCTATCAGTGGTGAGTGATAATACAACAAGCTGTACACCAACGTCCCCCGTTCCAGAGGCATTTAAATAGTGAATGTTTGGAGTTTGCAAGATGAGGTTTCCAAATTTTTCTGGACTGGAACTGAACAGGGAATTCATAAACTTTAATGTTTTTGATGCAAGATATTAAAGTGGGGAGGAGTTACACTGTGTTTAGGAACAGAGGGAGGTTTTGTTCTTGTCCTAGACAGTGCTAAGTGATGAATCCTGATGAGTGAAGGGAGCACTTTTATCCATGACCAGGTGCAACGGTGGAGCCAGGGGGTGGCCAGTGGTGGCCTTGACCACCTTTGGCCACCCCAATCATTTCAAGAAACTACACTTTTAAGCAACAGAAAAACTAGAAGGCATAGTTTCATACTAATAATAGGGGTGGTCAGTTTACATCTATGTATGGTGGTAGCCATCTTGGATTTTAGGTTTATTGTCATATGCAGGTCAACACAAGGTCAACAATGCCATGAAATGCTCAGGACGAGAAGAACCATCCCAACTCGCCAAAATCAACAACAAGAAATACAAAAACAAGGTGCCAAAAGTGAAAAGGGAATACAACTACAGCAGCATGGTCCTTTAAGCAGAGTGGTTCTGTTAGCAGCAGTGCTGTAGTGTATGTGATACATGGGCATACGGAGTATACCCACTAGAAAATATAAAAATTTCAGTATACCCACTTAAAAGTGCCCAGTGTTATGTAACATATCATCAGACAGGTGTCACTGATACGTTAAATGGCAGTTAAACGTTTCTGTAACAATCTGTCTGTATGCAGCTCTTGTTTATTACATTCACTTATCCAGTGAATTATTGTATAATTAATACTTCTGTACTTAATGCTTGAACATGTTTTGCTTTGATACTGTTTTATAAATTCTATAACATGTTTTAATAAAAAGAGAACTGTTGCACAAAGTTTGTTGCTCATTTATTCAAATATAAGCATCAGAGAAATTTGGAAATGTTCAATATGCTTAAACAAATTAATTAAAGGTTACATTGTACTAACCAGTGTACTTTGGTTTCTAAGTACAGTATACCCACTACAAAAATGCAGACTACACCACTGGTTTGCAGCATCGTTTTGATGTGGCAACCCAAATTTTGATGGTGACCTTACGCCTACCACACACCAAAATGGAAGTTGGTATCTCACTTATTTTTCAAGTTATCGTGTTCACAAAATGGACATTTCCATTTTGTGATTCCCCGATTTTACTCTGCGATGAGGGAAAAAACCAGGAAATCAAACATGAAACTACGGATCAAACTGAACTTTCTTTAGATGCAGAAGAAGACGTCTGTTTCAGTGATCAGTGAGTGCAGAGCCTGTGGAAGCACATATAAACGAATAGTACAACAGACTGCAGCGATTATATGCACTTCTTTTAATGTAAAAGAATGACATTTAATAATTCATGATGGGGATGACTGCTCCCACAGCTCACTGATAAGAGGAACGATTGAAGAATTTCAGGTTGGATTCCTTTACTAAATTATGCACCAGTGCCCTAAGAGCCAGTCTTCCCACTGCAGCTCTCCTCTGCCACCTTCATTTAGCCTTTTTCAGTGTTTTTCTTTGTTAATTTTATTCTTTAAAATAAGGGGACAGGAATGAAGCCAGTCCACATGTAGAGGACAACAGGACAAGGAGATGGGATCTGTCACAAACTTGAATTATGAATATAATTACGTGTGATTATTTTATTCAGAAAAGATGTTCTCTTTGCGTGCACATTTATAACTAATCTAAAGTAGCTGGCTGGGTAGCAGACTGTTTTTTTTCCTATGATTTATATAAAATGGTGGAGATAAGGTTCATGAGTGAAGAAAATATGATTGGAGGAATTTTATCAGCTGCCGCATGAATTACTGTTTGAAAATGCTTATGCAGAGGCATTTCATTAATCATTTAATCATAATCCGAGCAGGATGTTTGAACCGATTTCACAAATACCCTTTCATTTCACTACTTCATTATGCTCGCTAATGGATCCAATATATTATATATATCATAAATTTTATCACATCTGCGGTGACCATGTAGGTCACTGTCACCAGGCATGTCTGCGTGTGCACGAAGTGGCACGGGCGGACGAGAGAAAGGTGTCTGCCTTTTCGTTCGCACTTTTTCTGCCATTTGCAGCAAATCAAAAGCAGCCAGAGTCAACCTGCGACGGCACGGTGGCAGCGGAGGCTGTATGATGGCCCAATAAATTTCACGCCGTTGCTTTATTTTCAGACAACACGTTTGTGCATTAAACACCACATTTACACTCAGAAACTGGACACAAAAAAAAGACAGAGCTCTGCTGGAAATGTGTTCAGCTGCAGCATTTCCATCCTTGAGGTGAATGATTTAAATCTTCATGGGAAATGTGCTCTCTTCCCTTGGTCAAGTCTTCCTATTGTGTTTTCATAATGCATGTTTCAAAGTGTCTGTGCAATACATTCATCACTTGAAGTTAATTATTGCAGTGTAGGAGGATAAAAAAAGAAATTAAAGAGGCACATTTAAAGGAAGTGTGACCAGTACCAGCTCTTTTCTTGCTGAAATCTATTCAGACTTCTCAGGGCTTTCCATTTGTTTGAATCAAATAAACGCCCGTTTAATTAAGTGGGCCGGAAAATGAAACTGGTAAACATTTCAGGACATCTTACTAAATTTCAAAGAGGAAAATAATAGGTAAAGACGTTTCGGCTTCAATTTAACTGGCCCGGACTGAATTTTCAATGAAGGGGGTGTCCTACGTGAGCAGCTTTGGAATTCCTCCGCTCATACGAGACGTGTGCCGCGCTCCTTTTCATCCTTTGTTACACTCCACTTTATTTCTTCTAATGACATGGAGAGTCACAGTGCATAATTAATAGGAAATGAAATATTCAAATGGCCCTAATGCAGCCTTGAGAGGAGTGTCTGGACACGGGAGCAGAGGAAACGGGGACTTGATGTCGGCGGAGGCTATGAACATTGGCATGTGTCGCTTTCTGGACTTCAAATGAAGCCCCTTTTAAGACGCTCTCCGGCAGGATGACGGACTCTAATGTAAATTGCCACAATAAAACAAGTTAAACAGATATTCACGCGGTCGGCTTTTTACATATCAGTTAGTTCGCGCAAGGTTTTCTCTTCTTGGCGTTCCTAATGATTTGGTTTAAAGCTGTCTCTCAGGAAGGTTTTGTGTTCCTCACTGTTGGATGGGAACATAGGCGTCGCATATGTGAGGGGGACGTGTCCCCCTCACATTTAACAATAATAATTTGAACCCCCCCCCCCCCCCCCCCACAACCACACACACACACACATTTACTATGAAATGTTAGGTCACTCAGAGCTGTTTCAATTTCTTTGTGAAAAAATCCATTCCACTTGATTAATAGGAGAGTACTCAAACCACTAAAAGTCCACTCCAGGTTTTCCTGGTTACCTACAACTCTCCACACAGCAGCAGTGTTTCTCCTCTCTGGGTCTCCTGTCTTGGCAGGATGCTCACTGGGGGAGGAGGTGGAGACACCTCTGCGTTGCTTGCTAGCTTAGCGCTACATTAATGCAGGCAGTTGCTGACCGGAGTGGTTAGGATGCTTGAGAGAAGTAGAGCACTATGTCTATAGCATCTTAGCTAGCATGTCCGTATTGAACATCATGGCTAGCTTAGCGATATGCTAAGTATATGACGCTGTAAGACACTGTGTGTTGAGGTGCATTAAAGTTGAAATTTCTTTGAAATTCCACAACTTATTGTCCTCAAGCTTGTGAGAAACACCCTTTAGATGAGTAGTGTTGAACACAAGTAAAAAAGTCTAGTGGTGATGTTTTTTTTTATTTAATATCTCTATAAACACAAATAGTGTTGACCTGATGCTGTGTGTTAAAGCACATTAAAGTTGAAATGTCTTTAAAAAACCCACAGCTGAATTTACACAAACTTGGTGAGAAACATGATTTAAATGTGTGGAATTAAAATAAGGAAATCTAGCTGAAATGTTGTTTTTTTTGTACGTTATTTGCCTTTAAACAGAGTCCATTCACAACTGTGCAAATACAGCCCAGCTGTAAAGATTGTTGTAATCGAGCACTCTGATTGGAGTGAGAGTAAGGTTTCAGAATGGAAGGCTGTACCGCAGTCGTTAAAATACACTAGAATGCAGGAAATGGCATCTACTTTATTCAAAAATTTCTGAGGGAGGATCCCCAGACACCCCCCCCCCACACACACACACACACACACACACACACACACACACATGCCAATGTCCACATTACAAATACTTCTGATTCCAATGTGTACCCTTTATGTGGATGGGAATGGATGGGAATACACATTTATACAGTAGAAATGAAATGTATACACTGATGAACGGGGTTTAATTTGTTTATTTTTACTACAAATATTTTGTCAAATTCAAATTCTTTTTAATCTCAGTCTATATTATTTTAAGATTGTCATTTTCTTACTCACCTCTGGTGCTGAAGTGTGCCAGAGGTGTTTTGTGTTTTGACCACGCAGCACTAGAGGGCACTGTAGTGTTTTCCAGGCTCTGACCTTTGACTGGACATAGAGGGGTCCTGAACCCCAATAAAAACCAGCACGTCCTCATATGGACCCAGTCCCACCCCTCTCTGTGTGCTGGACCCAAATACAGGAACAGTGATTTGGTATTTTGTATTTATCAAGATATATGGCGTAGGTATGTCATGTTTTCTCTCAAAGATAAAATAAACAGACGCAGTATGAAACAACTGTTACGATATTTCTTATTTAGACTGGGCCTATGGTTTCATTCCAGTGTTGGTTGTTACTGTTGGCTTGTGGAGCAGAAATGTGTTTGACATTATAGAGTCCTCCTCACCTTTCTGTCTCCCCGCTACACAGAACACTGTGTTCTGCTGACTACACTCAAAGACATACGGCCTCTGGTTAGACGTTCAACCTCAGGAGGAGTTGGAAGGAGCATTATAATGTCTGATGTATTCTTTGTTTTTGTTTTGGAATCCTTTCAGAGGCCCGCGGTATCAGTCGCCGGGTTTCATGTGGAAGTGCTTAAGGTTTTGAGAGTTAACACCTTGGTGAGCCGCTCGCACTCTCGCCTGCCGTTAGACAAAGGCAGCTTTGTGGAGACTCTCCTCAAATGTTTTCTTAACATGTTCCAAGCAGTTTGAGCAGGCAACTAAAGTAAACAAGATGTTGCCATGATAAAAACACTTGTAAAAACAAGAGCTGAGTGCACTTAGAGACGTTTTCAGGCTGAGCTCCACACTGACTTTAATTCTCCTCCGTTCTATAAACAAAGGGTGAGGCCATGTCAGAATACAATAAATAGTGATAGATTTAGGCAGGCACACCCTAATCTAAAGAATGAATGTCTTTGTGTGAAAATGTGTGTGTGTGAGAGATATGTGTTTTAATAACTAAGTAGCACAGGATGTTGCTCACATTAAAATAAGAATACACGATTTTATTGAGATGGAAACTGTGCTACCATACAACCTAACCTAATGAACTTATTAAACACAAGCTGGTTCAACGCGGATTCATGTAAACACGGAAAAGAAACTTCAAGATGATGAGTGTGAAAACTCTCAGCCGCTGATGAGGCGGGCCTCTGCAGCACCTTTCTCTCCTGCTTCTGTGCACAAGGTGGTGCGTTCGCTGACTGCTCGTTTTAGGATAATGGAATTGTGTCATATCTTGTTTAAAGTGCGACTAATCCTGGGTGACAGTGAGCCATTGATCTGCTGTCACAACGCAGATGTTTTCATCCTCTTTGTAGCCATGGCATTGTTATGTGTTGGATTATTGAGAGCGCGTTGCACACACAGCTGATTAGTAAACCAGGGCTGCGACTCAAACGGGGAAAAAACGGTGCAGAATGTTAGTCTGGACAGAGTTGAGCGAGTTTTACAATCACACACCGCAACGAGGATGCACAGCAGGTGACGCTGGCTTGGCTGGAGCTTTATGATGAAAATATGTGTGGTTAATTACACGGATGAGGTCTCAGCCGTGAACAGTGAAACTGAAAGGTTTGGCATTCTTTAAATCAGGGGTTCTCAAACTTTTTGGGTTCAGGGACCCCTTACAAGGAGAAAAAGCTTCAGCTCATAACTCTCATGTTTATTAAATAATTTTCTTCAATTTGACTCTTTAATGCAATGGAAATATTTGTGTAACATAAATACTTAATACCTGTTCTTTAATAGTGTTAATACAATGTTTATACTTTTAAACACGGGGTATTTTTCATTCAAGACACAATTAATTAACAAAAATTTTAATTTCAACTTCCAAAAATGACAGTTTTGAGAAAATTAACAGAATCAAAGACCACTTTACCTATTCACATAATGAACATAAATGTATTATCACTTCTTCAAATTATTACAGAAAACACTTTACATTAAACTGAACAGAATCATAAAAGCAGTAGTTAGACCAAGTAACAGCTTCATTTGTGAATAGATCGAAACCAAAACGCAAATAGCACATGGGCGGGGTCCTACCCCTGAAAATTTTTAATAAAATAAATGCGATTTCAACAAAGTCTATGCTCAATAATCCAGGTATACAGTCCAACATTTTTCAGTCAGGTCATCTGGACAGTTTCTTTTTTTTTTTTTGCTGAAACGTTTCACCTCCCATCCAGAAGGCTTCATCAGTCAAGGAAACACACAACACAAAACTGATTCTTCCCCCAACAGCTTACTCCAAAGTGGAACAAACCAGTTATGTTGGTGCTAAGATGGTCTCTTTGTCACGCCCCCTCCTCCAGATGTGATTTCATGCATTTTGATGCATTTTAACGGATTGTTTAACATCTATGTGCTTGTAATTTTTTTAATTTTTTTGCAGACTCCCAAGCACCAGCTCGCAGACCCCCGTGGGTCCGGGGACCCCAGTTTGAGAACCACTGCTTTAAAGGATGCATATCCCCCACTGGACATAGTGTTAAACTAAGATCATCTCATAGTGAGAAGGGAGGAAACTTTAGCTGTTTTGGTTACACTTTGTATGAGATACCACTAAACATGTTAACTCACAGAACAAGTGTTGAGGATGACTTTCAGATACTACCACACCAAGTTTTACTTCCATTTCTGTAAAACTGTCTGCATTTTTACTATTTGTGTGTTTTCTAAGGTTGATTAGCTCTTGGGGGCATCTGGACTTGGGTTGACTCTAAAAGTTCTTCAGTGGTACAATATTTATTTTCTAAATACATCCAGTGGTTCATGAGATTTTTAGTTAACAAAGATGACTCAAAGACAAAGTTAAAGTCAACTTAGATATCACACAGTTAGTGCTTGGTTTGTGCTGCTGTTCAGCATATTGTTTTTGTACTACTAGTGCTTAGTGTATTTTTCGTTAACATTTTTCTAAGTTCATATCTTAGATCTTATTACTGTTTTTCTTTTACATTTTATACTTTTGTTGGATGTAACTGGAACCCTGTGTACACAATGTCATTCCACCACATGTACCACATGTGGTGCGAATGACAATAAAGAGCCTGGAATCCTTGGAGTATTAATTGTGGATGACTCTACTGCAGCTCCAACTGTCATCTCCATGTTTGTAGAATTGACTGAACAAAAACATTTTTGCATATTTCTGATGAGCTATAGCAACCACAATAAATGAAACTGACTCCAAAGTTTACACTCCTGGTTCGTTAGATATTTTGCTAACTCAAAAAGCAAACAGACAGACACACGCAAAGTCACTACCATCTTCTTTTGCTCGAGGCAGAAACAACAAAAGCACCTCAAAAACATAAAGCAAGAGGAACGAGTGCAAAAGAATTTGACATCTAAAAGAGAGGAAAATTGAAGAAGAAGAAAGCGTTCCCCCGTCCAGCGACAAGGGCAAACATGCAGGGCTCCCTGAGTGCAAGCTGCCACAGATAAACATCCTACCGTTGTTTGTTTGGGAAAAACGGCCCCCATCACCATGGGAACTGCACTTATCACAGGAATTAGAGGCCCATGCAGTTCCCAGAAGGAGACCCCACCACAGTGCCCTTTTCAAGAGCGGGCCGACCCAGACTCGGGAATAACAACTAGCTGCACCTGCAGTGCGTCTGCGTTGCCAGGGGTCACGAAACATGCAATCGACCCAAAAAAGGACAAACAAACTGTGACAGAAAGGAACCTCTGGCTATGACTTTTACTTACTTGAGGAATGACTGGAAATCATCAAAGACCGCTTCACATCCAGGCCACTTGCAGACACCGTGGCCGTAAAGAGGGTGACTGTTGGGGGAATGATCTTCCAGCGTCGAACTGAAAGAAACAACAAGAGAGAAAGTCTTCAGTCAAATCACAGTAAAGCTTCAAATAAAGGGCCGAAAATTCACAAAACTACAGATGATGGTTTATTTGTTGCACCCAAAGCCTCCCTGAGTGTTCTCAGAGCTCAGCATTTCCAGGCTTCATTTTTTATTTATTTTTGGTTAGATTAGGGACTATATTTCACGTACAAACATTTCATGGAAATTTTGTACTGTTTCAAAAATGTTAAAATAAAAGTCAAGCATTTATGTATTTTCTGGATGCTCTAAATACTATTAAAGTAGTTAAATAGCAGTTATTGAAGAGGCTATTTCATAAACCTTTTCACCACCATCATGTTTGTCTTATCTTACATGGTCATTTGAGCAGAAATACACGACGAGCCTGCAAGAGCTACATGCTCTTGAAAGTAACTACAGAGTAGGGATGCACAATATTATCGACATGGTATCAGTATCGACCGATATTAGTGTTAAAGTTAAATATCGGACATCGGCCATTCCATCAAAATAACTCACCAATATAAAAGGAGCTGTTTTTGTATGACAACCCAGTGACAAGGATACCTGCAGCGGCAGCACAATGTGATGACGTCACGTGCGCCTACTTGATCTGGTCATGGTGGAGAGGAAAATTCAAAATGTCTGCAGTGTGGAAGTTTTACTTTTCATTGAGGATGTTGGATTCCGAAGATTTTTGGACTATGTTGAGCCTCGCTACATCGTCCGCAGTCGAAGATATTTTTCCGATGTAACGTTACCCGAGTTACAAGCCGTCATTTCCGACGTCATTGAGAAGCTAATAGCCGATAGCACGACTTGTTGGGTGAGTTTTACCACAGACATTTGGATGTCGTGTTAGCTCCGTTAGCATGATTAGTCTTACGGCACAATGGATAGACAAAAACTTTGACCTTAAAAAAGCTGTCCTTCATGCACAGGAGTGCAGAGGAGCCCACACTGCAGCTAAGAACCTGGAACAAGCCTCCACAAGTGAGACAGCATCGCAGGTGACTAATGCTAATAAATAACATTTAACACTTTTCATTTAATATAAGTTAAAATGCTATGCATATCATATGACCGTTACTGAATATATGTCACCAGCTCTTACAGTTTTTGCACAATTTTTGTAGCAAATAAGCCTAAATAAGAGGGCTATGTTCTGAAAAAGAATAAAATAATAATTATAAATAATAATAATAATATATCGGCATCCATATCGGTTTTCGGACAAATAAGTTTTAACATATCGGCATAGCAGATACCGGCCAAAAATCCAATATTGTGCATCCCTATTACAGAGTTTAATGTAAATTAACCATACCATACAAAACTGTCAGCAGTATGAAGGTTTACAGTACAGTGGATATAAAGGAAGAAGATGGATTTTTTGTAAAAATAAAAAAATAAAAACTATGACATTTTAGAGATAGGAGCCGTTTTAAGATGGGAGCAACCTATTTATATCTTAGCTGTGTTAGCCATTAGTTTGTTAATATGGTTAGAATTAAACTCTGTTTTTCTAAACTAAGTTCATCCAAAAAGAAATCAACCAACAGGTAAGACACTGTTTATACCTTTACAGAGCTTCAATTCAAAATGGCTGAGCTATCCCTTTAATGATATTGACCACACAGTTCGTCTTCTATAAAAAAGATGATTTATTTATTAAACTAGTGTTATAATTTAAAGTAAAATCCAAATTAATGTATAAGTTGCAGTATAAATTTGAGATTAAATATCTGCACATTTTAAATGTCCACTAAGTTTACAAAGCATTTCTTATTCTCTATCCATGAGGAATAACTTGGGGGTTTTGTTTTGTTATTTATTGATTTATTAACATTAATTTAACCAGACAAATTAGATCAAAGATCACTTTTGCAAAGGAGGTCTGGACCTGAAATCAGCCTAACATTAAGTTTTTAAAAGAATAAGATTTATATATATATATGTATTGTGTGGTCACTTTTTTTTTTTTTTTTTTTTTTTAGAGATAGGAGCCGTTTTAAGATGGGAGCAACCTATTTATATC